CTCGTATCCCGCGAATGAAAAGAGAAAACCGAAAAATGTTAAAGAACCTATTAATTAACTTTTTGTCCTCTATCAAATATCAAAAAACATTTTTTGTGACGTAAGCACTTTAAATATTTTTCTTTTCGCTGAAGTCTTGAAATTTCCACACCGAATTTTTCAATAGCTTCAATTTGATATATAGCCCAACGTTTGGGGTCAAGTATTTCTGCTCATAACTCAGAAAAACTATTTTGGCTTCATCAAATCATAGGCCTTCATCATAGCAGTTAGCCTTCCAGTTTATTTATAGTTCAATGCCCAACACCCCCATGCAACACCCAATAATTTCTGAATGCCTTTAAAAATGTGTGACAAAACTGTAATCAGAAAAGTTGAAAAGAACTATGATTTCCAGCAAGATGTTGGCAACTTAGCCAAACTTAGCGTTTCGCTGGAAACGTCGAAGTTCTTAAAGTGTCTTTTTATCGCACAGACCGTTCAATTTATAGATGGTAAAATAAATAGACAATTCCAATTATAGACTAATTTTAAAACTAGGCAAGGGGATGCAAATAAATCACCACAGCTAGAAAGAGCATACTAAAATGAGTAAAATTGCAAAGTTTCGTTGCGAAATGTTGTAAAATGCGGAAAATATAGTCTTGCAAAGATCGCAAATTTTGTTAACTTTTGTATTGCGTGCGGAAATTGCTACCATTTTCGGCCCAAATGTGGTAGCAATTTCCGCACGGAATACAAAAGTATACAAAATATGCAAACTTTGAAAGACTATATTTTCCGCATTTTACAACGCTTCGCAACCAAGCTTTGCAATTTTACTCATTTTAGTATGCTCTTTCCGGGAATATACTTTTTTGCCAAGATAAAAAATTAGTCTATAACGGGAATTGTCTATTGTAGATGGAAATTTCGAGCAAAAATTATATACATTTCTAGACCTGACCCAGAAACAGCTACAACCATAGGCCGTCAAGCAGGAATCGAACCTACGGCCCTACAATTCCGGGTGCAGCACACTCAAATCAATTATTTTACTATGAACATTATGTTACAGCCAATACAGTACATTTGTAATTCCCATTCTGTTAGTTTTGACATGAGCTGCTTCCAAATACGACGTCTGAACTCTTTTTCTTAGAGTTGGAAAATCTTTATCATCACCTACAATAATACACATAACTCTTCTAAGAATAACGAACAATAAAAATAACCAACGACAGTCACTCTAAATGGATCTCTCTAATACGGACACCTCTCTAATATGGACACATCTCTAATAGGGGACACCTCTCTAATACAAACACATCTCTAATATGGACATCTCTCTAATACGAACACATCTCTAATACGAATACTTCTCTAATATGGATACCTCTCTAATACGAACACTTCCTATAATACGGACATCTCTGTAATATGAACACTTCTCTAATATAGTCACATCTCTAATAAGGACACCTCTCTAATACAAACACATCTCTATTATACACACTCTCTAATACGAACACTTCTCTAATACAAACATCTCTCTAATATGAACACCTCTCTAATATGGCCACAACTCTAATAAGGACACCTCTCTAATACAAACACATCTCTACTATGCACACTCTCTAATACGAACACTTCTCTAATACAGACATCTCTCTAATATGAACACCTCTCTAATATGGCCACATCTCTAATAAGGACACCTCTCTAATACAAACACATCTCTATTATGGACACTCTCTAATTCAAACACTTCTCTAATACAGACAACGCTCTAATATAGGCCTATCTCAATTATAGACACCTCTCTAATACAAACACTTTTATATTAGAGACGCCTCTCTAATACGTACACTTCTGTAATATGGACACCTCTCTAATATAGACAACTCTCTAATATACTACAGTAGGCACATCTCAAATATAGACACCTCTCTTATACAAACAGTCTCTAATATGGACACCTCTATGATACGAACAACTCTATAATATGGACACCTCTACTAATATAGGCACCTCTTTAGTATGGACATCTTGCTAATATGGGCGCCTCTACATGTAACACGGATACTGTACCTCTCTAATATGGATACCTCTCTAATAATACGAACACATCTGCGTGGACATCTTTCTATTTAAAGGTTGATTTCCACTGTGGCGTTTTTCATACGTACTTGTACGTATACGCACGTAAAACTTTAAATCCGTTTAAATGTTACTTATGAAATAACCAAATAAATAAAGCAACAGAATTTAGTGTTCCGCAACTTTTAGTATGCATTTGTTAACTGATTTGCAAAATATTTAAAAAGCAGAAGGATTCCACGTTTTATGTGCGTACGAAGAACGCAACAGTGGAAATCAGCCTTAATATGAATATTTCCCTAATAAGGACACACTCTAATGTGGACACCACTCTAACATGGGCAGTTCTCTATTATGAATACTTCTGTAAAATGGGCAATACCATAACAGTACCTATTAACTCTTTCTTAGGATACTGAGTTGCACTTTGAAAAAATGAAATGTCAGGTAGTAACCTTCTACAAAATAGGAAGGAAAATACGGTACAGCTACATATGTCCTATTTTAGTTATTTATATTTAAATGACATTAAAACCAAGTTTTGTTATAAAGCCAACAAATAGCCGAATGTGATACCTGCAATCTTTATCAATTTGAAATAAAGTTTCATTTTCTTTAAAGTACGTACTCCATTGACTTGATGGATTAGGATTAAGTGGCTGTAAAGAAAGCTTTACCCATTGAGCTACAGCTCCTTGACGTGTAAATCGTCTGGCATTAGACAGAGTGAAATAATAAAGTAGGGCGCATTAGGGCATGATGCATCTTGGCGGGTTAACTAGACACATGGGTAGAATTTTTTTAAGGATATATACTTTGTACTTTTTACTTACAGTAATATTTACGTTTTGCCTCCAGTACTTTTTACTCTTACTCAAGTCGTTTTATTGTTAATTATTTCTACTTTTACTCGAGTACAAATTCAAAGTAATTTAGGCACCAATGCTGATGTAGTTAGTACTTGGTTAGACACAATACAGCTAGTATGTGTATGGCTAACTAAATGTTATTACAACAAGTTCAGGTTCGAATATTTGCAGTATCGTGATATCTACAGTATAAAATTTGGTTGCGGATACCAAACTGTGACTTGTGTCTCAACTGAATACTACAAATTTGAAAGATTAACGTCTCTATTCAAAAAGCTCACTCACACTCAATGAGTGGACACTCATTCTTAATGAGTGCAACTCACCACTCACATAGTATAATGTGACACTAACACTCCAACTATTCAAAGACACCACTCACACTCAAGTGAAGCTCCGATTTTGAGTGAGTGAGGTAGACGTCCCTTGAGCCGCACTCAGTTTGTACTTAGTGATTCAAATATGGCGGAAAGGTGGTTAAGAAGGTTAGAATTACTGGACAATGTCGCAAGAAACAACAGAGACAGGAGGAGACCATATATTTTTTATTATGGGAAATATGACGAGGAGCAGTTTTGATGCAGATACCGGGTAACTAAGGCTGGATTTCGAGAGTTACTGGATATAATTAGACCAGAAATATCTGTACACAACGAGCGAGGAAACTGAGGAAAGCCCATTAGGTCAGATATACAACTTTTGTTGACGCTAAGGTTGTACGCCACGGGTACATTCCATGTAGCATGCGGAGATTTGTGTGAGATTTCGCAGCCATCAGCAAATCGAATTATAAAGCGAGTATCCGAGGCAATCGCACCGCGCTTAAGGAACAATTACATAACATTTCCTGAGGGCGATATTTTGGATCAACTCAAACTTGATTTCTGGCGAATTCAAGCTGTTTGCGGGCCAAATTTAGATATTTTAAACATTGTTGCACGTTGGCCAGGTAGCATACATGACGCCAGAATATTCGACAATAGTCGCATATAGTGCACAGTTTGAACGTGGTGATATTCGGAGTATATTACTTGGTGATAACGGTTATCCATGCCGTCAACATCTAATGACACCAGCAATTGATCGCAAACCCAACCGCAAACTACCGCAACGCAGATATAACTGATGTAACACAAATGCGTACGTACACGAAACACCGTGGAAAGGATGTTTGGCGTATGGAAAATGCTATTTCCATGTCTTTCAACAACCCTTCGCACAAAATTGCAAACGTCCCTAACTATAATTGTTGTTACAGCTGTGTTGTTCAACTTTATATCTTGTTTGTATGATGTTACTCTGAGTGTATATCCACACCGGGCAGGCTTGAAAAATATGCCTGGCCACGGCGGGATTCGAACCTACGACCTTTGGAATACTAGCCCAATGCTCTTCCAGCTGAGCTACGCGGTCAGGACGGTTCGAGTATGCGATATTTCGGAACTGAGTCTAGTTCCTTCGATATCAGTGTAATCTAATAATCATGAAATCTGTTGTGTTGAAGAGCATTGGGCTAGTATTCCAAAGGTCGTAGGTTCGAATCCCGCCGTGGCCAGGCATATTTTTCAAGCCTGCCCGGTGTGGATATACACTCAGAGTAACATCATACAAACATCTTATTCACCTGAGTACATTATACCAACACAGCAGATTTCACAACTTTATATCTATATGAACCAGAACATATTCTGGCCGCGATGAGGAAGAAGCTTAGATGTTTTACCGACGTTTGGGCAATGCGGTACGACAAGCCCTGATAATGCAACATTTTACGTAAATTATGAATAACATATTCAATATGATAATGCAATTAATATACGTTGTATGACTTTTAATTATTCATTTTATTTTCTAGAAGATCTTTGTATTTTGGCACTAATTCAGTTAACAGCAACTTTTCCAATTGCGAAAAATATTGTCTAGCTTCAGCCATATTGTTCAGCAACCCCGTACAATGCATTGACAAGTCTACAACAGTCTCACTATATTTTATATACCTTCTACATCAACATCAAACCCAAACTCCAGCAAGTCACACTCGAGTGAGCTCTTTGAATACAAATCTAGCTAATATTTTCAAGGGTGAGTGCATGCTCCCTCGTTGAGTGGACACTCACACTCATACTCCACTCTCACTTCAACCCTACTTGAGTGCATCTCATTCGAGTCACACTCAAGTGTGAGTGTGAGTGAGCTTTTTGAATACAGGCGTAAATGTCTCTGCTGGTCTCCTGAGTACCATGAGTCTGCCATCTTAAATATAGTCATCATGAGTATTTCCACATTCAAGGATAGTGTCAATATAAAAGTTTGTTCAAGGTTTAAGTGCATTTTAGTGTATTAACTATTGAGTCTCTTGGGGCGGCGATAGCCAGCTGTTTTAGGACCTTGCTGGTGATTTTGAATTTCAAAGTATAGGGAACCGGCAAAAATATTATATTTATTCACCCATGACTCGCTTACAATAACATGTACAGTACATATATGCACAGAACTTGTTAATGTTCGTTCCTATACACCAAATAAAATGTATTACTGTGTTCTTACAAATGTTGTGTTGGTTTACATCACTATTATTTGGCCTATGGCTATGCCCACTCCAGAACATAACTAAACTTCGCTTGGAAAATAGCCGGCAAAAATTTTCACCTACAAAAAACAGCCTACAAAATTTGACATATTTTCAGATCGTTATTTCGAACCCTGTAATGTTAGTCTGTTACTTGAATGGGTCAAGGAGATGAAGGAATAATGCTTACGGTAATAATGCAGTGGGATGTTGGATTCTCAGGGTGATACTAAAACTTTGAATCCTAGCATCCCAACCTGAAGTTGAACTACACAATGCATCATTTAACTTACATGATCTATCAGTTCATCAGGTTTGCTTATATCTTTTCCTTTAAATGGTTCAACTATAATTTCATTCACATACTGCTCATAGATATTCCTGAAAAAATTGTGCATGTTAATAGAGGAGGTGGGGGGAGTCACGATTCTAGGGGGGTCTGGAGGCATGCTCTCAAGGGAAAATAATTGAATTTTTGCATTTCTGAAACAGCATTTCCTATATTGTGAAGGCAGTTGGAGAAAAATGTAAAGGTCTTAAATTAATAATTAAATCACCCTTCAACAAACTGGTGTGAAATTATGATTTCAGAATGCTTGACAATTCAATTCCGTGGGAGGCATGACTATATACATAGAGCAATTTATATTTGTTATAACAAAGTTCAGTAGATGCACACAAGATATGTATGCAATACTGTCTGCTGACAAATGCCCCCCTAATTTTTCATTGGATTTCAACAAATCTAAAATTACACTCTGGAAAACATTGGCAGAGGTGGGGCAGCACCATTGGCAGTGGCGTAACATTATATCAGGGGGCCCCCGGTTCAAACTTTTCGAAGGCCCCCCTAGTAGAAGTGCCAAAGGCACAAGTTGAGCGCCGTATATGCATGAGTTTTCTAGTGGGTCCAGGGCATGCTCACCCAGAAAATGTTTGAATCTAGACTCTCTGAAATGCCATTTCCCAGACTTTGGGGGAGAGTGTTCTCCCGGTCCGAGCCCATAGTAGTTACGCCACTGACCATTGGCACTGGGGAGGTTGGTCTTCATAAGAACATGATACAGTTTGGACCAGGGGCCGAAGGAGGGGTGTCTATCCACTACTGTAGGTAGTGATTTTTTTCAAGCTTTCTGGAATTGCCTGTTGATTGGTACTGTGTAACCCAAAATATTTGTTTTGTTTCTTAGCTCTCCACCTCCACTCCCCAAACTCATTTTCCTGAAATACTGAGATTTGTATGTAACCATGAAAGCTGATCTCTGGATATAACTCTATTTCACATTTAAAAATGTTGGA